TCTATTGAGACCATAAACTCATGTTTACAATGTTTACTGAGGTAATAAATCAAGAGAGAAGTAGAGTCATTTTCTCATAGACTTCTATACAACCAGAGGAGTCGCCCCCTGGTGGACACTAGAGAGAATGCAGCTTTAACACATGAAGCTTTGACTTTTTCACTTTCAGCATTATTCAGTGTCACTGAATTTATTAAATAAATGAGAATTATTCTAATTTCTGCTTAGTTTCAGCATATCTCTGATATTCATCTATAATAAATAATAGTGAGAACAATTTTAAATCAATAAAAAAAAACGTTTTTTAAAACTATGAACGATTCTTGTTCAATAATATTACAAATTAATATTTAGTCCGATTTTGTCTTCTGTCTCTATAAACGTCGTCTTCTCTTTTATTTCTCTTGCTTCTGTGGTTGCTGTGAACCCACTCAGAGCTTCCTTTGCAACAGGAAACAACTCGTAACTTCATGGAAATGCCACAGTGCATCTCTGTCTGACATGTTAATGAGCCGAGAGAGAGTGTGTGTGTGTGTGTGTGTTTGTGTGTGTGTGTGTGTGTGTGTGTGTGTGTGTGTGTGTGTGTGTGTGTGTGTGACAAACGTTACGCCTGAATCATCATTTAATTCACATGAACTCAGGTTCCCTTGAAGGGCCAGTTCCCCCGATTCACTTCACCCAGAGATGGAAGAAGTATTCTGACTTTTTATTGCAGTAAAAGTACTAATATCGCACTGTGAAAATACTCCACTACAAGTACAAGCCCTGCATTCAAAACCTTACTGAAGTAAAAGTACTATCAGTCAAATGTTTTCTGATGTTTCTGCTGCATGTTTTTAACTCGTTTAATCTACATCAATGCATCGTATTCAAACTTTCCACGTTACTCTGAATATTGATATATTTATGTATTCATAGCTCTACAACCTGCTCGCTCTGAAGAGGTCAAAGGTCCCAGAGGAGCATCCTGACAGATTTATTCTCTTCTTTCATCTCTTGTCTCTGCTCATCCTTTCATATTCTCAGCGGTGAGATAACGATCTGAGGGTCTGAGTGTGAGACAGACTCACTTCCTCTCAGAATACGAACACAACACTGAAGCTCATATAGATTTCATCTCTTTGATGCTTTTTAATAGAAAATCTAAAATAGATACACTTTATAATTAAATGAGTAACATTTCAGTCTGTTAAACCACAGAGTAGAGCAGCACCTTCTTCAGACTCACTTCTTTAGCGTTTTATTTACTGATGGTTGATCGTTGTATCGATTCATAATTCGTTTAATGATTTCTATCTCGCTTACATCGTGATCTTAAATGATTTAACGTGTTTTTATTGTAGAGCACTTTCAAAAACTGCTTCATAAATAAAGTTATTATTGTTATATTATTATAAAAACCACCATATACAACATATAGTGCTGTAAATAACAGCTGTGGTACTAATTATACATATACATACACACTCACACACACACGTATACACTTACACACACACACATATACATACTGTATGGTGTTAGGTTGCAGCAGCAGCAGAGCTGTGAGTTCATACCATCTGTCACTCATAAACATGCAAACACTTGTTTCCTTTCTTCTGCAATAGCATCTGCAACATGCTGACTCCCACTGAAACCTCCACACACACTCTCACACACACACACTCACACACACACTAACACTCACTGATCGATCATGATCAATGACTCTTGTCTCTATTGTTGCATGTTTAAATGTGTCTATAATGTGTTTATTGTTTACATGCTGTTCCACATTAAAGTTTTCTAAGTCTATACTTGTACGATGATGCAGTACTACTACTAATCCACACAGTAGTATATAAAGTATTTAATGTGGCTCTCGCATTGACGAACTGCGAAATGCTTTTACCTTTATTTGTTAGTGATGAAAACAGAATATTATAATAATCTCTAATAAAGGAGCCATTCTGCATAATGTATACTTTTACTTTGATGCAGAGTTTTGCTGGTAAAGTTACGTAAAGAATCGAGTACTTCACTGCTAAATAGTCCCCAACAAATGCACAACATACTGCCTCCTGTTTGTTCAATAACAAAGTCATGAATTGACGTATTTGTGGAGTGTTTTTAAAGAGTTACATCTTCAGTGTGGCATGAAATAAAAACATTCTTCATCTTTCACTTTCTCTGTCTGTTGACCACACAAACACAACTCTGCAGACTGGGGAAGCACAGCGCCGCTTCTTAGAAGCAGAGCGACTGGGGTGCATTGTGGGTAAAGGGGCTGCATGTAGTTACAGTAAAAGAAGGCCACCTGCCGTTTACCAGAAGGGATGTCACAGGAAGTGACATCACAGCTGTGGGTTGGAGGGAGGGTTGAATTTCTGCAGAAATACCCCCGACCCGTCTGTCTGCTGCAGAAGATCATCAACACAACAAGAGCAGGATCGTTATTCTGTCATTTTATCTTTATTCTGCTATTATTGTGACCCTTTAATATTTACTATTTCCATTTTCTTGTGCTTTCTACTTCTACTCCACTACATTTATCTGACAGCTATAGTCAGTAGATATTTAGTTCACATAAAACACACAAGATTATAAATTACAACACAATCTTAAAGATGTATCCAGTAGTACAACGGTTTGAGCAGTTTGACTCTAAAACATACATATTTTGACCACATACAGAAAACCACTGGGAAGCAACAGAATGATATAAAAATACATCATTCTAACAGTTGACTCTCCCTTTAGGTCTGCTAGTAAAGCGAGTTGTCCTACCACAACGTTGGTAGTTTGACTCTCCGCATGTCAAAGTACACTGAACCCAAACCATCACTTTTAATGCAACATCACACGTTTCATTATACGTTTCATTATACTTTTACTTCTGTGATTCATATTCTGTCTGCAGGACGGGAGCGGTTTTGAGCTTGAATGTTTAAATGTTGACGTTGGAAATTAGGAAATAATACTAAATCCACTTACTGAATATTTGACAGTTTTGGCCACTTCTTGTGCGTTTCATCTACGGAATGAAAGCAGTGGACGAAATGCTACAATTATTTTTTGTCCTACTTGGCAACTCTGCCTCCAAGCAGACCAAAATGATATGCGGAGTTCCGCAAGGCTCAATTATTGGGCCTCTTTTGTTTTGTAGAATAAATTAAATACATTTGTTAAAGACATATATGAAATATACGAAACAATAAGATCATCTTTTATGCAGATGACACTCACATATACCTAGCAGGGTTGATAAAGAACTACAGGCCTTGGAATGTAACGGCCTTCTTCAGACTGCCAGCTGAAGTTAGTTTTTGGCATATCCAGATTCATTTTATAATATCTGGACAGTAAAAAATGAGATGTGGTTTCTGCAAATCTGATCCAAACCACATTTGTCGGTGGATTTCAAAGTGTCTTTCGCATCCCCCTCTATGTGACAAACAGTGATGCTGGCGTGACACAAGTGCTGAGCAGAATCAAAGGTGCTACCAGCGGAGGGCTTTATGGAGGCTACAACAATCCATCGTCACACATTCATGTCAACGTACACCAGCCTCCTGGAGTTCTGGTTGCACAGAGGGCGAAACGATGGACCTCCTTCTCATACTTCCCCGTCAGAAAGTCATGGCAGTAGTTACCGACGCCTACGTCGCTACCACAGAAACCCATGCAAAGTCTTGCAATCTTAACGACGTCAACGATTTGAGTTTCAAACTTCACTCTTGAACTTTGACGAAACAATTTCGCTTTCGATCGTAAAGACCGATTGTACCACAAGACCAGTTGGCGTAGATGATTTTGATGTGCCCTTCATGAACCTTTGATCTGTGAATGGCTCAGAAACAAATGTAGATTTGAACATGTACAATTTCACAACAACGGACAATTAAGAAAAACAATTACGTGATGTGATCGTGAGTTTCTTTTAGCAGAACGTTGAGGTGAGATTGTTTTGCCGAATCAATGATTGCCTGAATGTCATTCAGACTAAGAGTCGCTCAATCTTGATTCTCCTTCTAAGAAAACAAAAAACAAGTCAGAAATGTTGGTGTAAGCACAACAATTAAAAAGTGCATCTTATCGTCCTTTAAAATCATCACACCAATCAGAAAGTGAAGTTAATTCTGTTTAATTCAGTTGCATTGTTCTGTATGTGCCAATCAATAAATACAATTAATAAATAAACAGTCACGGCAGAATGATCATTAAATAGATGCATTAAATACAAAAATAAATATAGAAAACTACGACATGTCAGTAAAATACAAAAACCCCTGAAGAGTATAGTCGTTCTATTACAGCTGCAGAGTACCTGTACTGCAGTGAAGTACTTCACTTGAATGTTCAGAGGACTTGTAGTAAGTTTGAGTATGTCAGTATTTAACCCTTGTGTACTTTGTACCGTATGAGTAATGACACCACCGACAATTAAATAAATCGTAATTCTATTCGGCAAATCTTCTGAGCATTAAACCATCTGCCGTTTTTAAATAAGTAAAAATCAAGAAATCAAGTATTTCCAGGTGATAATTGATTGATTAAGTGAGTTAAACTCCACGTTGAATACATTAGTTTTTATAAACATTTCACAGGATTAAACCGCCAACTCTCTTCTTTCAAGTATGAATCTCCGAACCTCTTGAGAAAATATATGAATTTTACAAAATTACAATATCTATTAGGCTTAGGCTGCTGGTTTGTTGTCACTGTAATAAATATCTATCTATTTATAAATAACCTCTTAATACAGAAAAACATTTAAAACTTTGCAAGCTGGTTTAAATTGAATATTTTGGTTTTGTAACATATTTTATCCATTTTCAAAATGTCATTAAATCTGCTTGTTGCTGTTATTGTTGACATCTTGTTGGTGCTTTAGGCACTCAGATGGGTTTTGACCCTTCGTGTTTGCCGCCGCCGGCGTTGCCTCCTCTCTATCTTGATGTCATATAATGAGCTCGCCTCCTCGTACAGCCGCGGCAGCTCCCACAATGCTTTGCTCTGGACTTTAAGGTTATCCATCTGGAGAAAGCGGAGAGACATTTCATTTAAATTATTTCAACCACACAGTCAGAAACAACGTAATTCCCACAACAGCATCCCATTAAAAGCACCACAAAACCTTAAGTAAACTTTTATAAGTAAGGTGGAAGGAGGGTTTGTACAGGCTTTCAAAGGAGCTCATGGGAGATTTATGGATCAGCCTGTGATACGACTTATTCAGACCTCTACTTAAACCTTCCATTAGCTTTGAATTAAGCCTCACTTAATCCATTCATACATTTTCTATTGAACCCTACATAGACTTTTTAAACAAACATTAAACCCTACAGAAGGTTTTTCGCCTTTGTACTCTCTACATAAACCTTCAATAAGCCTGACTTTAAGACCTTTGTACGCTCTATATACACCTTCAATAAGCCCGACTTTAAGACCTTTGTACGCTCTATATACACCTCCAATAAGCCTGACTTTATGACCTTTGTACGCTCTACATAATCCTCCAATAAGCCTGACTTTATGACCTTTGCACACTCTACATAAACCTTCAATAAGCCCGACTTTAAGACCTTTGTACGCTCTATATACACCTTCAATAAGCCCGACTTTAAGACCTTTGTATGCTCTATATACACCTTCAATAAGCCTGACTTTAAGACCTTTGTACGCTCTACATAATCCTCCAATAAGCCTGACTTTATGACCTTTGTAAGCTCTATATAAACCTTCAATAAGCCCAACTTTAAGACCTTTGTACGCTCTATATACACCTTCAATAAGCCTGACTGTAAGGCCTTTGTACGCTCTATATACACCTTCAATAAGCCTGACTTTAAGCTCTTTGTACGCTCTACATAAACCTTCAATAAGCCCGACTTTAAGCTCTTTGTACGCTCTACATAAACCTTCAATAAGCCCGACTTTAAGACCTTTGTACGCTCTACATAAACCCGCCATTAACCCAACAGTCTCTCTTGCTCAGTGTGAGTATTTGTCACTCTACCTGGATGTGTTTGAGAGCCCTCAGTTCGTGCAGAAGCTTCTCCTGCTCCTGGTAACGGTGTTTCCTCAGCTCCTGGACCTTGTTCAGGATGTAGCTCAGCTCCGTCCTGACGTCTTCGCCCATTCCCACCTCACCACCACTGGCGGTGACGGCAGCGGCGGGAATCTCGTTGCTCCCGGCCGTCTGGGGAGTCGGGGTGGGCAGGTCCTTCAACATCTGGCCAAGCAGCTTTTCGTAGATCTCCAAAACACCACCCATAAACACCCTCTTTGCCTGAGAAAGAAACAAATATCGGTTTGATAGTTTAAGCATCCCGAATATTTTTGTTGAGCAAAAATGCAGCAAGTTTTTAACAAATTAAATGAAATCTAACTCTTAAAAAAGTGGGAACATTAAAACAGATGGTATGAAATATAAAAGTATATATTTGTAGTTTTTTTCCTAAACCATATAAAATCAGTGGAATAGTCCGTTTAACAAAACAAAGCTGGTGTTCTCTGTCTTGAGAAACTTGTACTGGCCTCAAGGTGCTGAAAACCTTTCTACACAATGGAAAGAAGCTCTGTGGTTTCCCACACAGGAGTTAAATTAAGAGCAGGGTGGGCTTGAAGGGGAAAGCCACTCATTGACTGCTAAACATGAATGTCATCCTCCAACATCGCTCAACAGGTTTTAAACTCATTAGGATGCAAAAACTGAAATAGGTCAGAGGTCAACAAAGTCTGACATTTTATTAATCAGTGAAGACGCAAGTTGAAGACTCATTAAATGTCCGACCCGTGCAGGTTTAAGGTTTAAACTTTGTCAAATTACAGAAGCCAAGTGTTAAACTTTGTCACATATTTATTAATGGATTTTCAAAAGGCCAGAAGCCAAAACAAGTTGGTCTCACATTCTTACCACCAACCCAGCTCTTTGCTCTGGACCTATTGTCACTTAAAGCACCGCAGCGGCATAATGGTGTACATTTTCAACATTGAGGGTAGTGCAATAGACTTAAACACTTTGTTAGTGATACGTTATGTATGTGGCGTAATTTAAGTCAACGTATCCTCATATCAGGGTTCGTATGAAATCTTATGTGAAGTTACTCGTTTGCCTACAAAAGTCCAGCAACACGTGTCCATTTACATAATTTACATGAATACAGTCTTTTCAAAATATACTTCTGTCTTCACAGGAAACAACTTCGTTAGGTTTAGGCAAGGAAGAACGGGTCGTTTTGATTCAAGACTATTTCTCTTCAATGAGTATAAGACTGTTGAGGATTTCTTACATGGAGGCATGTAATCCTTAAAGCATGCACATATGAGATATTCCCCCAACAGGTTCATTGTTTCCTAAAGCAGTGTTTCACCTCAGATGAGTTACTGAGGAGGCTGGATTGGAAAAAATTCAAAAGTTGACGCCTGTGTCGTCATGGTGAGGGAGAAACTAAATGGAAAAACCCAGAAGGGCGTGTTGGGTGGGTGACCTGTATGCTAAAAGAGTTTCTGTACCACCATGAATACCTAAATATGATTAAAAGTCATCCTGACATCAACATGTTTCCGACATTTGTTTGACACTTGCCCAACCTTATTTCTAAACCAACAAACGGCAATGACATGACGTTGCTGATGCCGGTTCCAAAAACGGGACAATAAGCGGATCCAAAAAAGCCGAAATCTTGTTGCAACAAAATGTTCCTCTATATGAACAATCTAATTATTGATTATCTTTACATTGTTACCTCGTGTTCTGTTTAGCTGAGGACAAACAGATTCAGGTCCAGTTTAAAACCTTCATATCTAGATGAACATGTTTGTTTTCATAGGGACACGCAAACAGCATGAACCAAATACCACAGCCTAGTTAGCAAAGCCTCGATCTCATCTCGTAACCACACAACAAGCAGCAAACAACCGACTGAAGGGCCGCAGACATGAACAGAGAAAGACTGTTGTGTTGGTGCTCAGCACTCGAAACCGACCATGAAGTGGCTTTTCATAATTGTTGGTGAAGAGTGAAAGTTTCATTCTGAGCACACATAGTGTTGCACACAACGCAGAGCAAGCAGGGAACAAAGAAAACCTCAATGGTGCGATAAAGAAACTGTTGGGTGTCAGACTGCATTGTGAAAGACAAACACCTAAAAGAAGAACCAGCTGCTGACTCAGTGATTAATAGTGAAATAAAGATGGCGGAGCTCGACAGGAGAACCTGATTTTAAATGAATTTCAATGAGTTCAAAAAGCTGGGAAGTAAATGTATTCGCCTTCTTTTTGAGATTCCAGAGAGAAGATCGATCTTTATGTCTGTGTGTTAAGAACGGAGCTGGAGTCAAGAGGCGATTAGCCTAGCTTAGCATGAAGACTGGAAGCAGGGGGAAACTGCTAGCCTGACTCTGTCCAAAGTAAAAATAAATAAAAAATACACCAACAAACGCCTTTAAAAGTCTTGTTTGGTGCACAGAAGTACGGAGCGGATGGTTGTTGTTTAAGAAATGTTTTCCATGAAATCATGTATACTTCTTTTTGTGTCAGCTGTGTGTTGGGAGGTGTATTTTCTTCCACTTTGGACTGACCCATGCTGTTGCATCCAGTCTTTATGCTAAGCTAAGCTAAGCAACTAAAGCTTGTACTTAACGAGCGCTTTCAATCCTCTGATCTCGGAAACACATCTAAAATATTGAACTATTGCTTCGAAGGTTGCAGTTGAGTCGACGTTCCCGTTAATTTTCTATGAACCACGAACGATATCCGATATATTTTATGGACGTTTAAAGAGAGGAGACTGTGAGCTTAAAGGTGCACAGATGAACAGATGAATCATGTATATAAAAGCCCATCTAGTCTTTATGTTCATATTTGTAGATGTATAGAAGTTAAATTGTTTAATTGACATTTATTTACCTCCATTTTGCCGGCAAGTGGATGTCTGGAGAAGACCGGCTTCCCGTCAAATCTCTCTCTCGGTGGAATCTTCTGCAAAAAAAAGAACATTTTTTCAGGTCAAGTTTCATGTTAATAAAGACAAATTATTGTAATTACTGGTGCATTCAAGGACAGTCGGACATTGGGCGTGTCAGAGCCGTCTGTTGCAAAGCGTTAAATTGATGAGCTAAAGTATATTGAATATCCAATCCTAAAAAGATCGTAAACAGTCATGTTAAAAGCATCATACGGAGAGTTCAAGGACAGTCTGACATTTCAGATTTAAGAGACATTGAAGGTAATGATGATCAAAAACAAGACAAATAATAATTAAACACGTTAGAAAAAGAGATTTTAGTGGTTTTCTATTGTTTTTATTGGTGCGTTCAATGACACTCCGACATCTCATATTTATGTGTCATCTGTTGCAAAACAAAGAAAAAAAATCGACCCTAAAATACAACGGAAATGCGGTCGTTTCCTGCACTTAAAAAAAAGTTTGCCTTCAGCGTCTGTCTGCTGAATCTCAAAAGTCGGAGTGTCCTTGAATGCACCATCAAGGAACAGTATCCCTGCTCCTGAAGTGCACAGTTGGATCATTTATAAAAATAAAAATAGTGACTGTTTGTAGTTAAAAGGTCCTTAAAACGTGCATAAAGTAAATGGAACAAAAGGTTTGTGGTGAGTGTGAAAGCAGCAGGAGGAAACAGATTTTGAAGTACTGCACAGTACTGATGTAGTATAAGCACAGTAGTAGTAGTAGTAGTAGTAGTAGTAGTAGTAGTACTCTCAGTGAAATACTCACATAGTGCTGCAGGAGGTTATGGATGGTCCTGTTCATCTTCGGAGGGATGTAGGAGCCTCGGACCTGACAGACGATCAACCAGAGGGACAGACAGACCACCGCCTTCGCTGTGGCAACCATCGTATCGTACCGCTTGTACAGTGACACTCCTGCGTGCTGGTCGCTGGTTTGATTCCCAAGCCCGACTGTGGGCCTTTTTTTCAATCCCTGATGAAGCGACGAAACACCTCTCTGACTGTCTGACTGATGGTCTAATGGTCTGACTGTCTCACAGTCGAGTATCTCTCACCCTGAAGTTGTCTCAAACTGTTTGACTTGACGTGAAACCTTGTATTTATAACTCAGGAGAGAGACAAGCCGCGCAGAGAGAGCGTGTGATGCAGCGATGATCTAGGTGTGAAAATGTGGTCGTGCAGTTTCCTTTAAATCACCAAACTTCATAGAAGAGGGTGAAGGGTCTCCCACTCATGCATGTCAAACACCAATCATCTGCTCCTGCAGAAATGCACATCACTCAATGTTTATTAATGTAATTAATGCTTTTAGTGGTCACACTGGGAACACTGATGGTTTCTGATTGGAGGCCTGTTCTTTCCTCAGCGTAGTGAAGAGAAGTTTGAGTGGAAGAGATGCCGCAGCCGGCGTCGGAAATCATTCCATCCAGTAGAGATGAAATGGAAACCGTTACGAACCCTTTTTATTAATTCATCGTCACACGCATGACCTTTTACCTCTGTGCCGAACCCCAACCCTTCAGCATCAGCAGCAGAGAGCAACTTGGGGTTCAGTGTCTCGCTTAAGGACATTTGGACAAGAGGAGCACGGGGATCAAACCGCCAAGCTTGTGGTTAAAAGGACGACCCGCTCTACCCGCCGAGCCACAGAAAAATAGATGAAACTACTTAGAAAGTGAGCATTTGAATCAGTTAGTAGCAAACAGTAATAGATGCAGGTGAACAGCTTGATTAAAGTAATGGATAACATTAATAGTTGTACTCAAAGTAAACCTTCAGGGTTGATATTGTTTGACAAGATGGTGAAATACTTAATCACTGTTGACACAATCAAAAGTGACATGAACAGCGGTCTCCTGGGTGACAGACCTGTGTGTTTGAACCATCACCTCACCTTCCACTGACCCGCTGAGGGTTTCTGTGGTCCGTAGACTTCCTCCTTCAAAATTACGAATGATTCTCTTACGTGAGATGTCTACACATTCCAGTACATTGTCTTTTCGTAGGCACAGCTGTGAACACTCTGTGAGAACAGCCTGAACTGTAGATGATATTGAACTATTTGGTGTAAATCAATAATAGCACAGCAGAGACTAGGCCAGATGAGGACAGGAAATGATATCATGAAGCTGACACCCTGGCTGGGTGTGAAGTGTTTCTATTGCCCAGAACAGTCCCCACTTTAGTTTAAAGGAAACTAAATAAGAGCATTTTCTTGTCAGCTACACATACCTATTTCTACACATACACACATACAGAGTGAGAGAGTGATGTAATTATCTGGAAACAGATAGAAATGAACTGCAGGGCAGCAGACAGGAGGTGGATGAACCTTCAGCAAGCTGCATGAAAGGTAATAACAGAAGAAAGTGAAACCAGAGGGTCTGAACTTCAGAGAAAAAGTTTTATAGTAAACGAGAGAAATCTGGACGAACGTCATTCATCCACATGACCAGATAACACAAAGACACTCTGGGAGAGTCGACATCTTGGTTTCTCGGGCCACAATCATTCAGTCTTTTTGGCAGTAGCCTAAAGCATCCCCTGCTTTATGGTCTATTAGAGACCTGTCAATCACTGTGTAGCCCCGCCCTAAAGCATCCCCTGCTTTATGGTCTATTAGAGACCTGTCAATCACCGTGTAGCCCCGCCCTAAAGCTTCCCCTGCTTTATGGTCTGTTTGACTCTAAATGGACCATAAGTTACTAAATGAACATCATGCTGTATTGAAGAAGACTTGAAACTAGAGATTGAGACCATGAACTCATGTTTACAATGTTTACTGAGGTAATAAATCAAGAGAGAAGTAGAGTCATTTTCTCATAGACTTCTATACAACCAGAGGAGTCGCCCCCTGGTGGTCACTAGAGAGAATGCAGCTTTAACACATGAAGCTCTGACTTCACAGAACCGGATGCAAAGTAACAGGAATTAAAAGCTCTTTTCAACCAAAACCTTATTTTCCAGCTCACCCCTAGTACAACAGAGGTCTGAATACTTCTTCCATCTCTGCTGTCAGGACACAAAGAAAGTTGAATTCTATATAACATATAAAACTCTTTTTTGTCTTCATTTCACTTTTCTTCAGCTTAAAAAAGAGAAAGTGAATTTAGTGCTGAGCTCAGCAGGAAGAGAGGCAGGTAGATTCTAGTGTTGTTCGTACATTACGTGGGTATCCCCCACACACACACACACACACACACAGGAAGAGGTTTCACATGTGGATTTCTGTTTCTGTTTTGAGGAATTTGCAGCAGTTTCTTTTTAAACATCAGTCTGAACTTTAATGATGTTTGACTGAATTTCTGCTGAATTTTACTTTAGCTCCTAAAGTCTGCTTCTCTGATTTACTACTTTAACTTTAAACAGATATGAGGATGAACCTGGTAAATATCACTTATTGTTGGAGTCTTTGTCCTCATCGACGTTCAGCTTCTTGTACTTTAGTTTAAAATGTTCATTGGCTCTGAACCATCGTTAGTGTTTTTAGTAACTGTTAGAAAGTAACTGAAGTAGTAGAAATATAGAGAGAATGCAGCTTTAACACATGAAGCTTTGGCTTCACTTTAAAGAACCGGAGGTTGCCGTCTGATTGGGACTTACAACTCATTTAACTGCTCGGTAACGCAATGGATTGTGGGTCAGAAAAGCTTGCTGACTTGCAAACTTCAAAACGCGACAGGATGTAGTACATCCTGGTATTTTTGACATACTGTGTATTTAAACACACACTAAATATTTGGTATTTTGAAAACTGGAGCTCACAGACAGATCGACTTAATGTGGATTAATCTGCTGCTGAAAATAGTTCCCAACTAAAGCTCTATATCCAGCTGTTACATTCATGAGTATTGTAGTTTCTGAGTTGGTGTAAACAAAGTGGAATAAACTTTTCCAAACTTCACTGATGATTCGATTCTTCTAGACTTTTGGAGAAACCTCGACTCCTTCTTTTTGTTTTACTATCTGACGTCACCTGTTGTGAGAAAAGCCCCGTCCTCTGGTTTTGGTTTGGGGGGGAAACCCCTCGACACATCACACCTGAGTCACAAATCCACTCAGCGCAGGTGAAGACAAGCATCACAAGTGAATGTTTGAGGAAAATCAAAAGCTTTCAAACACACAGAAAAAAAAGGTTCTTAAATGGTTCTTTAAAAGGCAGTGTGGTTCCACGAAGAACCATCCCCTACTGAAGAACCATTTTATCTATTGGATGGTTCTACATGTTTTTCATATGGTTCTTTGGGGTATTAAATGGTTATTTGGGATATTA